GCCCGTCTCGGTGACTTTTCCTATTCATTTGACTCTGATTGCGTCAATTATTCAGAGGCCGTACTGTCAAAACTCGCTGAAATACATATAGCGATCTAAGTGCATGTAGCGGCCGACTTCTCGTCTGTTATTGGTGGGTTTATCTTGACAAGTCGTAGTAGATTGGCTGATGGACTTACGAATTCGTTACTTTTTTTGATGGTAGGCCCGTGCAGGAGATGACTTCTGCAAGCTTAAATGCAGAGATGATGCAAATTTTGCTATGGAGATCTTAACTGTACATTCTGTCATGGTCAGTTATTCACAATTATTAGCTAATTTTTCAAAAACTATATTGTATTGACAATAAAGATTCTAACAATAATTCGAGCAAGCAGTGAGCTGAACCTTAATTGATGACAAAATCTTCAAGTCTTTATTCTAGATAAACTGACTCGAACTCGCCAAAACAAAAATCTATGCCAAATTTTAATTAAAAATCTATGCCAAATTCCCAAAATAAAAAGATGCTAAAATTTTAATCTTAACGTTAAAAATGCTTATTCTTCTTCCATGATGTTGGTCACCTGCCAACATGAGAATTATTTACTCCATAATAAATACCTTGAAAATAACTATATTTAAAGTTTTAATTGGCAATCCAACTTCAAAGTTGTTATTACAGAGATCATTTGAGTGACTTGAAAACTGAGCGTGTGTGCCTTGTATAAAATAACACGTCAATTATTCAGAGGCCGTACTGTCAAAACTCGGTGAAATACACATAGCGATCTAGATACAAGTAGCGGTTGACTTCTCGTCTGATATTGGTGGGTTCAATTGGTTTAAAAAGTCCTCATAGACTGGCTCACAAACTAACGAACTCGTGACATTTTTTTATGGTAGGCCCTTACAAGAGATGATTCTTAAGCTTAAATGCAAACACGATGACAATTTTACCATAGAAATATAAACTGTACATTTCATCATGGTCAGCTATTCACGATTATTGTCTAATTTTCAAAAACTTTATTTTATTGATATTAAAGATTCTAATATTAATTAATACCTTGAAAACAATTATATTTAAAGTTGTTATTGGCAATCAAAACACAAAGTTATTATTACAGATTTGATTGAATTGAAAACTGAGCGTGTGTGCCTTGTATAAAATAACTATATACCAGTTTCCAATTAAGCAAATCGTATCTTTCCGCCGCTGTTACTATTTAGGGCTATCCTAGTTCAAATGAAGCCAAAACCCAGCAAGGACATAGTAACGAACTATAGGAACGGAAAACATGGACCTTTGAAAAATAATCATGAGAAGCAATGTATATATTATGGAAAAAAAGCACGAGAGACATGAGCACTGACAATGAAAGAGCATGCTTCAGCACAGCCTGTGAACTTCATCACGGATTTTGCCAATTACAGAAACATGACTTGGAACACATCAACAAGGATAATTTGGGATTCAAGAGTGGAAAATAAACAATATTTAAATTTACTACAGTAGCGCTTCGCTGTATGAGTATAACGTGCATCACCAATGAAGAAATACATTCGTGAAATATGAATTTCAACATCGGTGAATGTGGTGCGAGTAACGATAGAATCGTGCATGCGTGTGCGTTCAGAGCGTAAGTTAAGACAGCATCACGCATGCGCGTGCGTGCAGAGCGTGAGTTAAGACAGCATCACGCATGCGCGTGCGTGCAGAGTGCTGGTCAAGACAGCATCACGCATGCGCGTGCGTGCAGAGTGCTGGTCAAGACAGCATCACGCATGCGTGTGCGTGCAGAGCGCTGGTCAAGACAGCATCACGCAGGCGTGTGCGTGCAGAGCGCTGGTCAAGACAGCATCACGCAGGCGTGTGCGTGCAGAGCGCTGGTCAAGACAGCATCACGCATGCGTGTGCGTGCAGAGCGCTAGTCAAGACAGCATCACGCATGCGTGTGCGTGCAGAGCGCTAGTCACGACGGCATCACGCATGCGTGTGCATGTTACCACGAAAAAGACAGTGGTTGGCCAGCGTTCAAGAAGCGCTGAGCTGCGTGGGCAGTGACGCGACGAGCGCCTCGTCTAGCCTGCCTTGCATCTATCACACTGAATGCTCTTTACTTTATATTAGCAGAATTTGTGAGCAATAAAGATTATTAACTTTACTTTTATTGATCATTAGTACCACTTATCATACACACGTTCGAGAATAATTTGTAGTTAACTTACTTAAATTTGAGGTAATTAAACTTATTTGATTCAGGCGTTGTACATCATCAGTACACTCTTATCAATGCGCGTTCAAAGTGCACATTTCATTTGAAAGTCTACTGGAAATTAAGGGAACATAAATGCACCTTGTATGGAAAAGTTTACACCTATCATGTTCAATTATTTTAACTTTATACCAGCAGAATCTTTGAGTGATAAAACAAATTTACTATACTTATTATATATGCATCAATAGAATTCATCTTATACACTTTCGAAAGGCACTTTTTATTTGAACGTTTGTTTGAATATTCCCGATATGTAGATAATCGTTCAAACTTCATTGCTTAATTGTTCTTCGTTCAATATGGGCGTCAGTTAATTGTCAATTTTGGGACGATCTTAATTTCCAAGCTCCTTCATATTGGTTCCCCATAAAAAATATTCATATATTCAATTCTCAACAACAAATATTCTGTATTCGATGATGGTGCCCAACTGCGACTTAGGTTAGAAGCAGGTACATTGAAAAGATTGTTCGTTGGTTTTTAAGATAAACCTGCCACCATCACTTCTATTTGCGTATAATTATCATTTGTTAGAGTTACTTATTTCCAGCCTGACGCATCAAGTGGATGCACGAGAGAGGTAACATGGCGTATTTACTGCTATAAATCTAATATTTATCATTTGCATAAAAATTTGATGCGAACAGTCATCAAATGCATCAGGAATAAAAATCGGGCTAAATAATTGCTGCAGCTAATATAATATTAAGAACTCACGATCACATTTTGATTTTGAAAATATAATAGACAAAACTCTATGCGTAATTTAAGTAAATCATACGCCTGAGCACTAACAATGCACTGCAGAGAACATATCTATTACATATATTTTTCCCGGTATTAATTTTCTAAGACTCATGAATCAAAACATTCAAAATTACCACTTGGTTATGCCATTATCACCCGTGTCGGGAATCACAAGGTTTCTTTAAATCATTAGTGCGAGGATGCAGTGGATTTACCTGCGCTTACGGAAATAAGTGCACCGGAATAGCCGCGTGCATGAGTAATGGTTGGTGAAAATAAGCTTGGAAGCAGCGCGTATAGAGCCAGCGAGCTTATCATAGCCAGCGCATGTGGCGCGTTCCGAGAGATCAGAGCCACATATAGACATACTACTCGGAAATAATGTTGATTATACGTTGTTTAAATGAAATCAAACGGCATTTAATGTTGTTTTAAAGTCGTTGGAATGAAAGAGAGTATTCCGTGCGAAGAATATTAGCTGAATTTTTGACGCATGTTTGTTTGTATGTCATAATTCGCAAGTGTTGTTACATAACGATGTTGTTACGTCACAATGTAGTTATATAACAGCATCGATATGCCAGAGTTTTCATGTCATAAAGTTATTTTACGTTCGGACAGATGTCACGAGGGAAACTCAGGTTCTTTACACGTCAACAAGCTTGAAATTGTAACTACAAAGGAGACTCAGCTCAATGTGTCATAAACCGTCTCAGAAATGCGTTGTGAAATTCATACTCGACTCAAGTTGTTACGAGTCTGCTCGGATATGTCGTTGCATGTGGGCAGCTTCTTTATTATATGGCATGTCTAGCCCCGACACTGCAAACTAAGAAAATAACAATTTATATAAATGATTTTTATAACTATAATCTTTTTATTTCAATTTCCATCGGAGTAAGTGAGGAAGCATGTAAACTCTGACGAGAAATAAAACAATCCTAGCTCTTGTTCTAGCTTGGCATAAATTAAACCCGCCTTAAAAAGTTTCACTTATCAGTTCGCACTTTTTAACGCCCGTATATGGCAGATTTCCAATGCCCTATTAATTGTTAAAGTTTCAAACATTTGATACTCTGATCAATATGATCAAAGTTTCAAATTTTCTATTTGATCAAACTTCAGACGTCAGAATAAACGCACACATTACTACTAAAACGGATGGATTCATGGGGAAGGTGTACATACATGATTATGTAAATACGTCGTATTTACGACGTATGTATATACATGATTACGTAAATACGTCGTTGCAAGAAAATGATGCGCGCGACTTGCAGCGGATAGATCAGTCCGATAATTAAAATTTCACATATATAATCCTATGTCAATATTTTTCAAATTTGGAAATCTTTATTACACTCTCATCGAATTTTTCCAAACACATGCTAAAAGCAGTGTGTACGAAAACCATGACATCAGTAAAATTCATCTCACATTCAGAATAAGAATTTTTAAATTAGAATTTTCTAGTTGATAACGAATTTTTCGTTCGAGTTTCATTTCGAAGACAATCCATTGCATAAACTTCATAAAAGCAGAACTGCGTTAGTAAATAAGATATTATTATTGTAATACAGAGAGGAATGGCAAACAACACTAAATTATCGAAACAAGAAACCCAGCATCGATGCCAGAATCTGTCAGCAATTATCTCTGTAATAGTATAATAAATTTGCAACTTATAAACGTTTAGAATTTTATAACCTGCAAACGATAATTCGTCACAATGTGCTACGTAAAGAGATATTACGTAAATAGGTTTCGATCCCAAACTGATTATCGTCGTCAAGTTTGCGTATTATTGTTCATCTTATTTTGACCCAAAAGTCAATGTATCTTGTAGCGAAAGTTCAAAGATTTACCCTGCTTGTTAAGAGCTGTGATGGAAAAGCATCGTGTTGTGATAAGAGTGAGAGATAATGAAATATGATGATATTTAAAGGCATAAAGCCATATCAAGGAGCAAAATAGAGCCGTTATTTAACTGACCCTTGAGTAGTCGTACGCCAATGGGTCCTGGAAAAAATTAAATCAAAAATCAGTGCGTGAAACGCAGCGCAAAAAATCAACATGCCAGAAATCCATGAAAACCTTTTTGGTTGAAAAATATTTATTAAAAAATGTTCAAATGTTTAATAATTATTATATTAGTATACTTGAATATAGGCTGCTTTAAAGTTTAAACATAGACATATCTTTAATTTTGTATGCCAACAAAATTAACTTAGTTGAATCGATCACAAAGGTAACAATAACCAATCTCTTCGTTGAATTTGGCTGGAAAATGTTCGTAGACTTCAGCGGTTTTGCTTTAGACTTGGTAGTTAATTTCAAGAGACCAAATAATGAGAAAGGCTCTTGTTTCTTGTAAAGGCCTTCGTTATCCTTTCATCCTCAGCATCATTTATTATTTATTTTACTTATTATTTTTTGTTCTATTTACTATTTACTTAATTTTCCTAACAATCTGATGAGCCGTTTGTCTAAAACTTCTAGACAAAATTGTGTTTTCTAGCTAATTAAAACACATAATTTGTTCATCGTTGAACCTCATGTTTCACATTATGTTTACTAAGCTTTCTTTAATTTATTTAAAATAATTTATACTGCTGAACACAAGATAAGGAAAACTATTCGTAGAGAGTAGTAGACTTCTTTGCTGCGCTGAAGTGGTTGTGAAACTTTGACATTGCAGCTACCTAGAGGGAGCACTACAATTTTTATCCTGGGCATTAAAAGTTGTTAAGGTTTGCAATGATTTTTTACTTATATCGGATGACTTTTTCATGGTAAAACGACACATGCTAGTCACCTGCAACAGCAAGGATCACCACTCGCAATCGTAACAAATGCCAGGTCATCGCCTGCGCTTTTATCATGCCCGTGAAGTTTTCCGACACGTACTCTGAATTACATTTAATTAAGTATTCGTCGCTCAAAATCAATTTTTCTAAAAAACCTTACCCACTAAAATTTTATTTCTATATTTTTTATGTATGTGAATTAAAATTCTAAAATATATTAATTTTAATTGCAGTGACCCCACTAGAGGACTACTCACCGGCAGACCGTAGCCACCATAGGATCGGCCGTAGGCGCCAGGAGGGACGAAGGTCGGACCTGTGAGCGACGCCATCTTCCTGGTGATGTAACCGTCATCGTAGGAGGGACCACCGCGCATCATCCTGCGGGGTGAGGGCAACAGCTCTTACGAGCATAGGAGCTGGGAGGATCCTACGAGCATAGGAGCTGGGAGGATCTTACGAGCATAGAAGCTGGGAGGATCCTACGAGCATAGGAGCTGGGTGGATCTTACGAGCATAGGAGCTGGGTGGATCTAACGAGCATAGGAGCTGGGTGGATCCTACGAGCATTGGAGCTGAGAGGATCTTACGAGCATAGGAGCTAGGGAGATCTTACGATCATAGGAGCTGGGAGGATCTTACGAGCATAGGAGCTGGGAGGATCCTACGAGCATAGGAGCAGGGAGGATCCTACGAGCATAGGAGCTTGGCAGATCTTACGAACATAGGAGCTTGGCAGATCTTACGAACATAGGAGCTTGGCGGATCTTATATTACGAGCATTGGAGCTGGGAGGATCTTACGAGTATATATAGGAGCAGGATAGCTCATACAAAGATACATGAGAACTATGGGGAGGCGTTTGCAAGAATATAGAAGCTGAGTAACTCTTACAAGAAAATTGGAACAAGGAAATTCTCAGGGCAGCTCCTACTAGAAAATTGGAGCTGGAAACTAATAAAAAAATGTAGGAGTTCAAGCTGAGCAGCTCTTACAATAAATAGGAGCTGGAAACTCTTACAAGAATATATAAGAGCTAAGTAATTCTTACAAGAAAATAGGAGGTAGGCAGCTCATACGAGCATAGCAACTAGGTTGCTGTTGAAAGCATAGGACCTGTGCGGTGTTAAAGCAGAGGCCCTGGATGGTTGTTACATTGTCTTGAGCTTATATGCTAAGTGCCTATTGCAAGCATATTAGCTGTGCAGTTCTTACAAGAAAAAGAGTTGGTCAGCTGTTACCAAAATGCTAAGAAACTGTTAAGAGCATTTGAAATGTGTAACTTGAATATACATAACACTAGAAACTGTCTTTAGGATGGAAGCTGTACAACTGCTTCGAGCAATGCTACTAGCTGATATGCAGTTTTGAGAATGGTGGCCAAGTGACTATTCCAAACGTTTAAATTGGTCAACTGATTCGTTTGTAAACGCTAAACAGCTATTTCGAGTTTGAACTGCGTAACTGTTTCGAGTATGAAAACTAAACAGCTCTTCCGAACATGGACACCAAACAGCAGTTAAATCTGAGCATGGACATTGAACAGCTATCTCGAACATGGACGCTGAAAATTCACTGATTTGATTCTTCTCGACTGAAATCAATATGACTTTGTGCTTTCCGCAATGAGCTTTCTGTGCATCAGAAACATTTCAAGAGCTTGTAAAATTACTACTCATTATAATACAGTGCACCACACTACATTCAAAGAATCAATTGAACATGCATCACTTTGTCCCTCATGGCACAATGCTTTGAAAAGAATCATGTCGAATACCCTAAATGAATCATTTTACAATTCTCTGAGTTTTGTGGAAAGCTATAGAAACGACGAATATTGAAGAGAATACAGAGTGTCGTTAACATATCATATAAAACGTTTTCAGTCGTCAAACATTTTTTGTTTTATTTTATGTCTGAAACATCCCACTCCGATTCGCCATTAGCAACTCGAAAACATTCCATTTAAATATATTAACATAAATATAAATATCTCATTACACATGTGGGGATTAAATCTTTGAGGAAAAAATTAGCTACCACGAATTTATTTTCGTGCAAGAAGCAAAGCCACCGTACACCGTATACGTCACAGAGCCGAGCAGTACTTATAGTGTTTCTTGGAATTGGTCCCAAAACTACCATTTGTCGATCCACAACTCTATCAGTATATGATGTTAAAGTTTTTAATCTAAAGTAAATTAAAACTTTATGCAATTGAAAAGTTTCCATTTCACGATTGTATACTATATTTATACTGAGGAAAATATGCTATCACATCCTCCACGTGATAATTGAAACCACTCCCATCAGATGCCATACTATAGATATGCAATGTAACGGCATTAGAATTCCCTAACTGCCTGAAAAATCTGGGATAAGCTTTCCAAAAAAAACTAATTCCCGATGAGTTTTTTACTCATACCAAAAAAAAAACTTTGTCTTACCTGATGGAACAAATGCGCCTTTCTGGCTATTCCCGCGACACTAGAAAGTTCCTGAGGAGCGCGCAGGACACGACACACAGCAGAGAACCCGGCACCTCACAAGTGTAGTGTGCCCGCCGTGTGCACAAGCGACCAACCAGCCGAGCTATTCTGAGCTTGGCCGCAGCACTTCCGTGGCAGCTCTGAAATAGCGTGAGCGTCACCTTGCTGTGCAGTTACTGCAACTGCTGCTGTACAGGGTACTGCAACTGCTGCTGTACAGGGTACTGTATATGCTGCTGTACAGGGTACTGCAACTGCTACTGCAACTGCTGCTGTACAGGGTACTGCAACTGCTGCTGTACAGGGTACTGCAACTGCTGCTGTACAGGGTACTGCAACTGCTGCTGTATAGAGTATTGAAATTATCGCTGTAAATGGAATACTACTACTGATGCTTTACAGGGAAAAGCAACTGCTGCTAGTAAAAAGTATTTGCAGACTGTTAGTGCTTCAGAACGAATAGCTACTGCTGCAGTTAAAGCTACAAACAATGCAGTAACGGCTATTCTTCTCTGTAAGCAACTGTTACAGCTGAAACTATTGTAAAAACTGCTACTGCTGTGTCACGCACGGTGGCAAATATTGTACTAATTTAAAGACCAATTTTACTTATTATTTCGTGTATTACCTGCCAAATAATCCAAGAAACAGAAAATGTTACAGTCGTTGCCGGGAACCCAACTGCTGCTCTAGGTAGGCAACTGCCACAGCCTTTGCGGACGCATCAACTGCTGCGCCTGCTTTTGGATCAACAATTGCAACTTTGAAAAAATAAGTAGTTTAATTTAATTTGGTTGTTCATATGTAGATAATATACAAAGTCATCCCTGCATTCGTTCGATTCGCGATATTATATGTACTTTTATCATATTAAATTTTAATGAATAATTGGAATGTTGTTGAATATCACTACATCTGAGTAGATAATGGAAAAAATATTATTAAAAGATTTGACAATGCCTATTTTGTGAATTTCATCTGGGGAGCGATATAAAGAGATAATAAAATATTGTTATTGAACTCCGTAGATTTATTTCCACCAATTTATTCAAAAGATATTGTAGGCCAGTCAATCTTTTCAGCGTGATGAAATTCATTCTAGCAGAGAGGCGCGGGTTAAATCTCAGCACTGAACGCCAATTTCTAGTCAGAATTGGGGAGGAGGCGGGCGGTTAAGCAAAGCAAAATTGGAGCAGTGACTTGCGTGTTCGAGACCGCAACCAGCTGTGAATGTTCTGTGAGGTTAAGAATCTGCGACAGGCCTACGGCCTAAGAAACGCTGAAACTGCTGCATTATTAGTAACTTCTTTGAAATTGAAAATAATTAAGCCTGATGGGCCGTTTTCTGACCAAACGCCCAGATTTTGACAGTTTTTAGTTTCTGTTATTATACAGGCCAAGTTTGTAAGGACGTTTTTTCGAAAAATCTGTGTATGTTGTTTCAACCGTATTCATTTTGTCAAAGACGCGAGTTTTCAACTTCTCTGGTACAAGCGAATGAGAATTTAAAGTAAAAATGAGAATACTTCTTTTCAGAATTCAATACTTCTATGTGTAGTTTGATAGAAAATATGCACTCATTTCACCTTAGTGTACTGCCAGTAATGACATTTTTTACATTTCCTAATAAAATGGGGACTGAATTTGAAGGTGATTTCTGAAAATACCACAGATATTTTATTGCAACAAGTGTTTGAAGGATGTAATAACTAATTAAATAAAAAATTGTTTTATGTATCACACGATTTCGTGATTCACTTAAGGACCTCATGGCGGAAAATTTACTCTTTTTTTAGCCAGAAATAACACTTTCCGACATTATTTGGAGTCTTGATTGGTGGGTTAGTCAAATTATGTAACATGTTATTGTTAATGTATCCTCACGATTACCGAGGGGTTACAAATTTGATCAAATTATACAAATCAAAAGGCGCGAAAAGTCTGTATTAACTTAAATTTACCTAGCAAAATAAGAAAGCAAATGTAAAAAATTAGAAAAGAAAAAGAGTTAATAATAAAACGTTTGGAAATGTTGTCTATAAAATCATATCGTGAATAGATGTGTTTAAAATAAATGAATTAAATTCCAATTTTATTAATCCAAATTCAATTAGAGGCCGTTTTGCGCATAACATAACATAACATAGTGATGTCGGCGCTGAAGTGTAGGCCTGATGCTGTCTCTTATACACATCTAGATGTGTATAAGAGACAGCATCAGGCCTACACTTCAGCGCCGACATCACTATGTTATGTTATGTTATGCGCAAAACGGCCTCTAATTGAATTTGGATTAATAAAATTGGAATTTAATGCATTTATTTTAAACACATCTATTCACGATATGATTTTATAGACAACATTTCCAAACGTTTTATTATTAACTCTTTTTCTTTTCTAATTTTTTNCAGACATAACCGTGTCTTTGAGAAACGACCATGAATCAGCCACATTCATGTCCTTAATACAGTCCGAAATATTCGCCGCATTCACCGTTTTACAGAGTGTATCATACCATAGTCGCCTTTCGCAAAGTCTAAACGTTCACGCTTCCAAAGCGTCTTTTCTGCACAACACTTAATATTATATTGAAAAACAATGATTGGTTGTTTTAAAAGGTTGTCCCATCAGAACATGGTAGAACTATATAACTTATTATAAGGTTGACCCACGAGAGTTCCGTCTTTCAGTTCAGCTTTCTTGTTACGTCACGTAGATCGAGAAACGTAAACAAACCCGTCATTCCCATGAACGGATTGGTTGACTGGTTTGATCGCACTTCGGTGATTGGTTAATGCCCGTGATGTCACTGAAATTAATGACGTCACAGGAGAACAACGAACTACATCCGTAAAAATGGGCTTCTGATGGGTCAACCTTATATTAGTTTAACCATGCATCAGAAGCCTAATTTTGTGGATGTAGTTCGTTGTTCGCCTGTGACGTCACTGATCTCAGTGACGTCACGGGCATTAACCAATCACTGAAATGCGATCAAAGCTGTCAACCAATCCGTCATGGGAATGACTGGTTTGTTTACGTTTTGCGATCTCAGTGACGTTACAAGAAAACTGAACTGAAAGACGGAACTTCTCTAGGTCAACCTTATATAGTTCAACTGTGGTTTTGCGTGTGCTGGTTTGGCCGTTTCCATCCATCAACATCCGGCAACCGTTACCAGAGGTTACCATGCCATTTCACATTCAGACTTCGACTTCTGCCGGTCGCGAAGTTCAAGCTGAGACAAGTCGACATCTCGACAACTGAAGTTCAATAGAGGTTGGTCACCGTTGGTGCTAGATTGCAAGCCACAGCGCCGGTGCTACTGATACCAATCGTTATCACTTTAAATCTAGTACCAATTATAAGAAATTAGCCGCTAGCAAAATCAAACTGATTTCGATTTCCATCAACGTTTTTATTTGTTTGTTCCAGTTCAACCTTTGATCCATTCGTGTGACTTTTACTTTTAGCCTAGCTATTTGGTTTTGCTTCTAAGTTGTAACTTTTATCATAGCATCGATCAGCTGGTAAGCGGCGTTTGTTAGACAGTTAGAAGTTAGGCCTCAGGCCTGTGAGTCCTGTCGTTGATTCATAACATCGCAAAACATTTGCAGCTTGTTGCGGTCTCGAACACGCAACTAACTGATCTAATATTAATCTGCTTAAGGGCTTAACTGCCCAGCCTGGCCGGTCACCTTGCCGAATTGACCAGAACTGTCACAGCCACAGCCCACAGGTAAGTTACGTAGCACGCAGCACGGTAGCTGGGAGCCTGGGATCACTAAGTATTGACTGCTCCAATCTTTGTTGGTATGGTATAATGGTACGGTATTATTGCAGATTAAGTACATCCAAAAAAAAGGGTGTTTTTTTTTAAATTATATGTTTTTTGGGGTGTAGATTACGAATCTGAAATCCATTTTTGGCGGTCGGCATCGGAAATTTTTAATTAGTCCTGTCGTTGATTCATAACATCGCAAAACATTTGCAGCTTGTTGCGGTCTCGAACACGCAACTAAGAAAAATGAACTAACTGATCTGATATTAATCTGCTTAAGTGCTTAACTGCCCAGCCTGGCCGGTCACCTTGCCGAATTGACCAGAACTGTCACAGCCACAGGTAAGTTACGTAGCTGGGAGCCTGGGATCACTATTGAGTATTGACTGCTCCAATCTTTGTTGGTATGGTACTTTGATAAGTTTGATTGTCACCACTGCTGGCACTGGGCCGCTCTGTGTTGCTGTACATTGTACAATTATTAGAAACTATTTGCTGTACAATTATAAGAAACTATATTAGAAAAGTGATTGCATAGGCAATGGCAATTGGTAAGGTTTAAATGTTATGAACTTCTCCTAAACTGGAACCTAGAGCTGGAGGTTTGCCTCTTAATTTTTCTGATGAGTGATGACCACTGACCAGTGGCCAGTGCCAGTGGTGAGCACTGAGCAGGTGAGGTTCTTAAGTTGTAAATTGACAATAGATCAAGTTAATCTATTTAATCCCGGAGGCTAGTGGTAGAGAAAGAGACCCAACTCAACCAAGTATTTTCACTGGACAACCCCTCAGGGGGGACTTCTGACTGGTGTCTGTGCTCCTCAGAAGTCCTATGGGATTTCGCGTTCTTAGGGGGATTGTACCTGAGCGCCCCACCGTTGAGCTCGCGGTGTCTTACTGCAGATCTCAGTTGTGGGGTTAAGTTATTATGTAGGCAGGATTCCTTATATTTCCCTTCTCTGTCTCTCTCGTGCGACATGTGGGCAGCCGACGTCCCTGTCTCTTATACACATCTAGATGTGTATAAGAGACAGATCGTCAGCTGATTGTTGGAATTGTCAGCTGATTCTCTTTGTTTCCCAAATTCCCAGTTCCCACTGTTATGAAATATTCGGGAAGATGATTTGGGACAAAGAACTGCTGACAATCCACGAAAGATTTTTATTTAAAATTCTCATATTCTTCTTAGAAATTTTAATGATATACATTACAAAAAAAATTTTTTTGATTTATTAGTTTAAAGTTTTCAAATGCACCAATCCAATGGAGTGAATGGACCAATGGCAATAATAGCTTTCCAAAGTTTGTAATTGTAGGGTTTCAAACTTACTATACAATGCACATTTTAAATGACTTGATAAAATAAATTGTACATATTTTGAAATACAATTTTTGTTGCCATAAATGAAGAGGAAAAACATTGTGTTATCATTTTTGTGTATTTTTAATTGCATTGGAATATAGAAATACCTAAATTGAAATGAATTTACTGTGGAAAAATAAATCTCTAGCCTAGTTCCAGTAAATATTTCTGAAATTCTGAGCAGACAGTCTAACTGGAATTTAAGGTTAGAATAAGTTAATTATGTCCTATTAAATATTATTCAGAGTGGCAATATAGTACAAGGAAACCCAGTTGTGCTCAGGCTGGGAGGTGTGATCTGTTCATACCCGAAGTCTTGAAAGCAATTAAAAAAAAAAAAATTAAATATTAATCCAGCTTAGACCAGCTAGGGTATTTTTTACTGAAGCTAATGTCATGACAAAATTGTAGTTTGTGGAAACCAAACTGTAAAATTATGTAGGCTAGAAACACCCATGAATCAGAGAGAATAATTGCATATCTGGGCCTGGCTAATTTTCTCCCATTCTTTTGGCAATCTTCTTATTTCTTCAGTAAGAAATGAGGTTATAAATCCCCCATGAAAAATCTTCATTGAAACAATTGTTTTTATCTGCAATTTTTGATAAATTCAGCCTGATATTTTTAATCATAATGCAATCCAGACATTTTTTAAATCATTTTGTTTTGAATTTTGTTATCTACTCAATATTTTAATCAATTTCTTATGTATGATAATGCTGGAATCCAAGATACTTAATAGTCTACTTATAGGACTTGATAATGAACTTGAAGAAGGATAACAAAAAGTGTTCTCCTTTGCCACTATGTTTCAGATTGTATGGAGATAGGATATTGGATTAAACTGCTTCTATAAGTATAAATTAATAGTTAGAGATTTCAAACAACATGAGCAAAATCTTGAACAGATATATTCATGTTTCTGGCTTACTATTTGCTCATATTTAAACCTGTATGAAAAGAGACAATGAATAGTAAAAAAAGTGATTGCACCACCATTTCAAAGACAATTATTGTCTAAAATAATAAACCCATAAAATTGCTTTGAACTATTGCANAACTGCTGCTGTACAGGGTACTGCAACTGCTGCTGTACAGGGTATTGCAACTGCTGCTGTACAGGGTACTGCAACTGCTGCTGTACAGGGTACTGCAATTACCGCTGTACAAGGGGTACTGCTACTGATGCTTTACAGGGAACAGCAACTGCTGCTAGCAAAAAGAATTTGCTAACTAGTAGTGCTTCACAACGAAAGACTACTGCTGCAGTTAAAGCTACAAACAATGCACTACCAGCTATTTTTCTTTGTAGCTCTGCTCTAGGTTTTCAACTTTATATACGTCTGCTCTAGGTTTTCAACTTTTATGGCACAAGTGAATGAGAATTTCAAGAGTTACAGCCGAAACTGTTGTAACAACGGCTACTGCTGTGTCACGTACAGAGACAAATATGGATGTACTAATTTAAAAGACAATGTTACTGTTTAATTCGTGTTTTTTCTGCCAAGTAATGCATGAAACAACTGCCACAGCCATTGCGGACGCGTGAACCGCTACGTCTGCTTTAGGTTTAACAATTGCAACTGTGAAAGAATAATTAGTGTAATTGAATTTATTTATATATTTGTAAATAATATACAAAGTCATCCATGCATTCGATCGATTTGTGATATTAAAACTTAAAGGTTCTGTCATCAAATTATAATTCAATAAATAATTTGAATGCTGTTGAATATCACTACGTCTGAGTAGATAGTGGAAGAAAATATTCTTAAAAAACTTGACAATGCCTATTTTGTAAATTTCATTTGACGAGCGACATAAAAAGATAATAAAATATTGCTGATGAACTCCGTAGATTTATTTCCAACAGTTTATTCAGAAAATATTTGTATAATATAATAATAATATAAATAATAGCGGTTTCAGCGTTTAGGAGGCCGTAGGCCTGTCGCCGATTCTTAACATCGCAGAACATTTATAGCATTTTGCGGTCTCGAACTCGCAACTCACTGCTACAATTTTGCTGTGCTTAACCGCCCGGCTTCCTTGCCGATTCTGACCAGAAACTGACGCACGTGATGAAATGCATTCTATACATTTCTTTTTTTACACCATATTCTTAATGAAAAAGGATTCCCGATGCAAAGTAATATTAACATGTGATTATACTTTGCGTAAATGAATGAAAACATTCATTAGTCGGCCAATTTTCAAATAACGTGTTGACCTTTTTAAGTTCAGCATGACGCCATTATCACGGCTAGGTAGTCCTTGCGAAAAGGTATAATTAAAATTTGTTTAGCAGTTATCTACTGTTAGAATTATTGTAAAAACTACTAATGATGGCCCAGTGGTTAAAGTTCAGAGCACCAAGATCGGAGCAGAGAGTTGCGGGTTCAATCCCTGCACTGAGCGCCAGTATGGCTAAGTAAAATTGGAGCAGTGACTTGCGTGTTCGAGACCGCAACAAGCTGTGAATGTTCTGTGATGTTAAGAATCGGCGACAAGCCTGCGGCCTAAGAATTGCTGAAACAGCTACATTATTATTAATTCCTTCTTTGAAATTAAATAAACTTTAGCCAGACGGGCCCTTTTTCTGGCCAAACGCCCAGATTTAGACAGTTTTCAGTTTCTGTTATTAGGCAGGCCAAGTTTATAGGGCCGTTTTGCGAAAAATCTGTGAATATTGTTTCAACCGTATTCATTTTTTTAAAGACGCGAGATTTTAACTTTTCTGGCACAAGTGAATGAGAATTTCAAGAGAAAATGAGAATACTCATTATCCGAAATAGATACTACCATGTGTAGTTTGATAGAAAATATGCACTCATTTCACCTTAGTGTACTGCCAGTAATGACTTTTTAACATTTCCTAATAAAATGGGGACTGAATTTGAAGGTGATTTATGAAAATACCACAGATATTTTATTGCAACAAGCGTTTGAAGGATGTGATAACTAATTAAATAAAAAATTGTTTTATGTATCACACGATTTCGTGATTCACTTAAGGACCTCATGGCGGAAAATTTACTCTTTTTTTAGCCAGATAGGCCTTTAATGCCCATTGACAAAATTTTTCTATGTCAAATAGTTTTTGAGTTGTGGGGGTTTTTGTAAAAAAAACGAAAAGTGGTCTAAGTTACCCCGCCGGTCTAAGTTACCCCATTTTACGGTATCAGAATTAGTTTTTATGTAACTAAAATCCTTTCTTAAATTTATCATCTATTAACTCGTTTACCACTTAAAATCAGCAAATACAAGTGCTATACTTAAAGGATTCCCAATATATTCACAGACTTATTTAAAAGTCTCAAACCATAATATTCTTTCTACATAAACAGTTTATCACGATTTGGTAGAGCAAGGTTAACTGTCGGCTTTCACTTGTGTTTCGATGTTCTCACTGGGTGTAGTGGGTGATGTGGAGTTTTGCTCTGCAGACTGCAGATCTTAACATTTTCCTGCTAGACCTAGTGTTTTGCAGAAATATTGCACGCAATAGTATGATGTCACTATTTCAACCATCTATGCATGCGTGGAACTAAGACAAAGCTTAATATAAAGGAAAAAGTTTAGAAGTGTAGGAATTACCTACAGTGTCAGAATATGGTGTGTTTACCATATGCCATTTTATATGCCTAAATCAGCCTAATTAATGTATCCTCTTTATGTTCAAGTAGAATGGGAACTTTTTAACTTACTTTGCAGACTACAAAACTTAGAAAACTTTTTTCATACATGTTGATTGTGTCTGGAAGCGTCAATATTGTGCAATGTGCAGTAATGCTGAGACCTATGGTCAAAGTGAGTGGAAAAGCAGAGAGTTTTTTTTACTCTATCTCAAGTTCATTTTTGAGTCCTATAGCATAAGTAGACCAGTAAAGTATCATGATACCAGCATTATCATACCTAAGAAATTGGTTTAAATATTGGAAAAGTTAGGATATTCAAAATGAACTGATTCGAAAAAATCTCTGGTTTGTCACCATGCCTATGGTGTATTGGTGTATCTAGCCTCTGGTGGCACATGTGGCCTAAACCAAATGCTCCTGATCCTGAAGCTGTAGACACAGGTAAGGTATGGTTACCTAGATCCTCCTAGCAGGCTAGCAGCATCTGCAGCAACAGGACTAACAGGTTACCCACAAAATACCAAATGACATTTTATCAAGGCTGGAAAATTTGATTTTTTTTTTCTGAAATCTCACCCCTTCAAAGTCCTGCATGTCCATTAGATTGGAGATAATTCATCTACCATCATTGCCACTGCTTTTAGGCTACTGGCCTGGCCTTCCAAAGAAAGAATCCACTTTGTATCTAACTGAGCCACCGGGGTGCAGAGGGTGCAAGCAGCGTTGCCAATATATGGTTTTTTAGCCCAAACAGTCACCAGCCATTTTCAAGATCTGTTGTCTGGTAATTACCACATTTTTCTTGACTTCGTTTAGTGTGTCTGTCATCAAAAATTCAAACCTTAATTTAGAGCTCTTCTGAACATCCTAGAAACATTAAATTTGGCATGCATGCTTATGCTGCCTAACAATTCAAGATTTGATCACCAGAAATAATAATTGAAAAAAAAAATTTTTGAGAAAAAAAATTAAAAAAAACACAGAAAATTCACGGTTTGGAATTGAGTTTTTTCTCGAACATCCACAATTGCCAACCCTGGAAATTAATTTCAATTGCTAAAATTGCTAACTAAAAAGTAGAAAATAAATAAATATAAAGAATATTTATAAAAACCATGTTTTTCTGGTTTTTACAAAACTAAAAATAATGAAATAAAACAATTAAAAAAACTTGAAAAAACACATTTTCTTAATGGACAAAAAAAAAAAACATTTACTCCTACATAACATTACATAACATTTTACATAACTTGTACGGTATGTTATGTAAGAGTAAATGTTTTTCTTTTTTGTCCATTAAGAAAACATGGTTTTTTAACAGTTTTTTATTTGTTTTATTTAATTATTTTTAGTTTTGTAAAAACCAGAAAAATGTGTGGTACGCATATGTACCACTTTGTAGTCAACTTGTTAATCAAGTATTTTGGATGAATACCGTCAACCAGGGCTACTTGGGATGGGCGGGGTAACTCGGGACAGTCCTCCGACATGGCGTAAAACTGTTTTAGTAGCAAAACTAATTGGAATATTGCAAAACTAAATATAGTAGTGTAAACGTCAACATTTTTCCTATCTATGTAGTATAAAGGAAGTTCAGAAATACTACATTTACTAGCTTTGAAAAATTCCTGGAAAAAATAGTGAAAAACGATATTTTGAAAAGTTACTTCTGCTAAGGTCTGTAGTAATAAAAATATTTGCCATATTAAAAATTTTGCTTAGAAAAAAGCAAATCCTGATCCATCCAACGTAGGTACTGGAAACTTAACTGTGCACATGCGGTCTTCCAGATTTGTGATAATTTCAAGTAATTTCCAAAATGCAATAATTTCAATGGAATATATCATGGCATGGAATACCTATATCTACCTTTCAACTTCAGACAACCTGTGACTAGAGCTTTCTTGCCATTTTTGGGGCTGCAATTTTCTTTCTAGATTAATTACCTGCAACCTAATTGTTAACAATCATGCACACTGCACAATTGGACCACAAGATTCCAAATGTATTGAAAATTTAATGCAAGAAATATAATCAAGCCTATAAAGGCTGCAACTTAGTTTTAATATATTACAAGCTAGAACCAATGACCATGACTATGGCGTTCAACTATTTCAACAACTAGGTATATTTCCCAATTTTCATCTGTTTTATATTGTATAATGTTGTTAAACTCAGTGGTATATTTGGACAGGAGCTGTTCTTTAGTAGATCTTAATGTTCAGCAACATGTGAGATTCAGCAGGATTTCTTGTCATTCATTCAATTTTATCATTAAATACAATATTAATAAACTGTATCTTATTTCTGAATTTAATCTCTGGAATCCAAATGGTTTTTGTTTTTCAGGTTCCTGCATTATAACTGCCCATCAGCCATCTAATGTTGATATTGGGTGCTCAGTCATTTATTGAGCTGCAAGATCTCAAGCTTTTACCATGGCCCCTGACACCTTGCGATTTGGATGGCCTTTCCCCGAGATGAATGCTGGTGTTCCCTCATCTTTTGTGACCAGGAGCTCTGCAATAGTTCCTATTGTTGGCACCCTTAGCAAAGTTTGGCTTTGTAAGTCCCTCATTTAATGCATAAGCTTCAAGCATACCAGGTAGAAGCCAGTGACTTTCAAGTGAATAATTAAAATATTTTAGAAAATCTTTAGGTTTTAAATTTAATTGGGGGATTCTCTATGGTTTCTTTGGGTGAGTTTTGCTTCATGGAAAATGATAGGTTTGTTTGTAACTAATACATCTAGCGAGAAAAATATCAAGTTGTGATACTATATTTTATTATAAGCTACATACACTTAGCCATTTCTTTTCTGCAGCATATAGGTACCTAAAACATCTTATTCAGAAATCCTAAGTTAATTGATGCCCTCAGTTGGAACCATATTCATTGGATTTATTTACAGGCTATCTTAATTCTGTGACTGTCCACAATGGTTCTACCTTCAGCTGGTGGGTGAACAAGCGTCCCCGAGACCAGCCCCTAATAACAGTCAGCAACCATCACAGCTGCATGGATGACCCTTTCCTTTATGGTGAACAATTGGCTACTCAATTATTTTGCAAGGAAGTTAAGTTTGCAGACCTTGAGCATCTTAGTTGGATAAATTATTTTCTAAGCACGAGTCTGATCAGAATTGAATTTATATTGTTCACTGATACCTATAATAATTAGGTCTCTTCAATACTCCATCTCATGTTCTTCATTGAGAAGTTTAATGTTGGTGAACTTAGTTACAATAGGTTTTACTCTCTGAAAAATATTTTATGCATTAACTTCAAAAATCCTTTTTGGGGATACAAGGACAAAATTTTGTGTAATTTTTCTATTATGAGAAGTACAACAACGAGTTCACTTACATAATGTTGATGGTTAGGAGTTACATCCCACAGTTGAGGAGAAATTAGTATTTATAACTTTATGAACTCAATAGGATCTCAATGGGTGGATGAGAATAAACACTGGCTCTAACAATTCTATTATATTGAATGATCAATGTGATCATGTACGTAATATAACTATAAAACAATGCTGGAATATAACTATGAAAGTTTAGCTAACTTTTATGTACTGATAGTGAAATGACAGAAGTAGATAGAATAGTCAAAAGGAGCAGTACAAAGCAGGATTCTGCAAAACCAATGTAATTTAAACTAATTATGTACGAATTCATAACCTAATAACCATGGATTTATTTATCATTACCTACATTACACGAGCCATAATGAGTGAATCAAGTAAGAATACCGTAATTAAGAACAAAATGAATGCATGCAGAGATAAAGCAAAAAAAAAAAAGTATTCATGTTCTGGATAATGATATCTCAGTATTGTGGATAATGAATGACAGAATAAACATATTCCTGACACCTGGGAAACTGAATTCTCAGTCGAGTTAATTCGTAAGTCATTATTCTACTTTTTTACGTTTTACATTTTCTCATTTATGGAAAAAATGCACTATTATGCTCGCTACGTCCGTCTGTCTGTCTGTCCGTCCGTCTGTTCGTGACCTCAATTTTTTGTCAACGAGAAAATGCGCTCACTCTCACTCACTGCAGTGAGTACTGAGTTATATTTTTGACATAATTTTCTCTACCTGAAATAAATATACAAACAGAGGGAGGGGATCCAAAAAATGTTTAAGTTTGAAAAGGAACATTTGCTCTGTTAAGTTTTATGTAAAAATTCGATTAAAAAGTTTACCTGCTGGAAGACATCAACAAGATTTTCCCAAGTATCAATGTAATGTTTCTTTATGAAGAAACTAGCAGGTTTAGCCTGGCATTGTCCAGGCTTGATAATCCCTGCAATTTTGAATCCTGTTATGGGAATCCTGGCATCACTGTAATCCTTTACCTCGTTTATATTTATAAAGATTATGTATTCTAAATGTTCAAAAATATAACTCGGTACTCACTGCAGTGAGTGACAGAGAGCGCATTTTCTCCTTTCCTTTCCTCCAATTCTTATTCAACCAACACAAATGAATTTCCGGGTACACATAATATCCCGACTCAATAAGCATCCTTGATAGGCTCCCCAACAACACCAAAATATTTCTGGTGCCAGGCTTCAAACTCACACAAACCTTAGCTAATATACAATTAAATAGAATGAGCTGTAACTCAAAACCTGCAGATATATTCAAAATTGTGTTTTGAACTGGGAGGAGGCTAATAAAACGTAATCTAATAAGTGTTTATTGCAGGCATTCTTCCGTGGAAGTCTTTGTGGTCAGCTCACCTCATGCGCTGGTCTCTGGCCGCACACGACATTGTCTTTACAACGCGCTCTTTAAATTGGTTTTTCAGTTCTGGTAAATGTGTTCCTTGCATCAGGGGCAATGGAGTCTTCCAGGCAAGTCTTCTCAATATATACCTATATATATTTATATGTTTTCTATTCTCTCTATAATAGTATATATATTTCTTCTAGAATTAATTTCATTATATTGGCGTGTATTCTCAACCCAATTGCCGCTGGCTGCAAGTTTTCTGGCTCAATGAAAATGGCCAAGAATGAATTACATTATGACGCTATTTCTGAATTATATTATGACTCTATTTCTGTTTCCAAATCGCCTTCGATCAGGTTTAAGAGGCACTGTCACAGCCAGTGAAAGTGTCATACTTAATATTAATATGTGTGAAAGTATTTTACTCAGTGTGTGTGAAAATCTACTGTTAGTAAGGTTTTCGCGTTGAAATCATTTTATCGTGATGTTCCAAGAGTCATTTTTCTGCGCTCATTTTCTAACACTTACCTTACCCCACAGCAAGGCATGGACTTCTGCTGCTCACGCCTGCGTGAAGGAAGCTGGGTGCACATCTTCCCAGAAGGAAAAGTCAATGAAAAGAAAGAAATTTTGCGATTGAAATGGGGTATTGGAAGGCTAATATACGATTGCTGGTCTGGCAAGAGCTTTTTACTGAAACAAAATGAGTTAATCAACACACCAGAGCCGGCTGAAGAACTAAGTCCCTCTTTGTATAGAAAGATCAGTGGGAACTTTTCTGAAACTTCATCAGTTCTATTTTCGGCCCTGCATAAGGTTCGGGAATCATTGCGACTGGTGGAACCATCGTTTTCATTGAATAGTTCTTCTGAAAGGAAACTTGAAGGCAATTACTCGGACAGCCTCACATCCAGAGTTTCCAATCATACTATGATTAAGAATAGTGATCTTGCACGGTTTCCCGGCAAGGCTCCAATAATTTTAATAATTTATCACCTCGGAATGGATTCTGTTTTACCTAACACTCGTCCTTTTATCCCTCGCGTAGGGAAGCGAGTTACAATAGTAGTGGGGGAGCCTTTAGATACAGGTCCTTTATTAGCACAACTCAGTCATGACAAAGTATCAAAACATGAAGCCATGAAGCGCATCACCGACTGGCTGGAGATCGAGTTTCGAAAATTGGGAGCTAGAACGGCCGAGTTGCATGCGCAAACTTGATGCAAGTAACTTCAGCTGCTAGGTGTAATTTAATTATTTATTTATTTGGGTATCAAGTCCATCTAAGACCGAGGTTTTATTCTGATAGCTCAAGTATGTACATAAGTTATAGTGCTGATGAACATAACTACAAATTCTACAGGTGTTTTTTTGTGAGCAAGATTGAAGTTGAAAATAACGAATTGGCTTAACTATATCCACAATGAGTAAGGATTTGATAATTCATTCTCTGCATTGATTTAATTGTAACGAGGTTTTAATTGAATTGAAACGTTCTCAACTAATTGATGCGAAATGTTGTGGTACCGGTAGCGGATATAGTGGGAGATAATTCGATCTCTCGTTGAACAGACAAGTATTTGGCTTTTAATCTTGCTTTCCAATTATGAATGAAATACTTAGATAAAAAATTCCGGTTTGCAATATTTTTTGTATGCTATTTCTAATGATTCGAACTTTTCGATGTAAATTTTTAAAATCTTCCTAATCTTTGCCTTCAATCCACCCAATTTGCGCTGAATTCACTATTCGACTCATGCTGAACAGCTAAAATTATTATTCTGAGTTATGGAACGAAGATACGCTTTATATATTGCCTCTTGAACATTACAATTTCCTTGCATTCATTTTCGCTGGCATGGATTATTGTCTTGTGTCTTGGTTTATATGCACAAATTTTTTGTGTTGAGTTTGGAGGGGAGCACCGCGTACAAGAAACGTATTAAATCTTGCTCCAATAGGAACGATGAAGCCACGTATTTAGTGATAAACTTAACATATAATTTTGTAACCAAATTTGAAGGCCGATATTCAGAGATGGCCCTCTAAGATTGTAACGTTAAGTCTTGTGCACTTGCTTAAGGATGTGCCCTAGATTGTGCGACTTATACCATTTTCAATGAAGGGTATGCCATCTGGTGTGGTATGTATCGAATCTTGACATTCAACATGGGTCACTAAGCAACACAGGCCCAACAGATGCAGGTTATGCCCGTCACGTTCGAGGACATTTACACGTGGCGAATCCCCATCAGCACCTTCTGCCCGGATCAAAATCTCCCACTAAAATCTGAGTTGCAGGCAACTGCGATGAAAAACCTTTTCCTGGACCACGCAACTACAAAGCAAAGCATACAAACTCGACCCATATATGCACTGACGGCTCAAAGCCTCAAAGTCGGACGACGCAGTGGGGTGTGCGGCTACGACCGACACAACAATAATATCAAGACGACTGAGCCCCAACGCTTCAATTTATACGGCGGAATTGTCTGGCGTCCTCTGTGCCCTGGCCCTTATAGATGACCACCCCGAACGTAACTTTACAATATTTATAGACTCCAAAAGTGTAGTGCAGGCCCTGAGAACCCACAACAGCAAACTTCCTCTCATCTTGGAAATCCTGGCCTGGCATTTGCGCCTGGTGGAGGCGGGAAAAACGATAAGCATCTGCTGGGTCCCGGGACACGTGGGGATGCGGGGAAACGACAGGGCGGATGAGGCGGCGGTTGGCGCTGCCTCGTCGGACGCGGCCATTTATACGGAGGACGTCCCATGTCACGACAACTACCCCCGCATCAGGACCAGCGTTCACCATATATGGCGCGAGCTGTGGCTGAACACGAGAAACAATAAACTGAGAACAATCAAGGACTGTGTATCAACATGGAGCTCATCGTACCAGAGATCTCGACAAATGGAGATAGCGCTATGTAGACTGAGGATTGGCCATACGCGCCTCACTCATGGCTACTTGATTGAGCGGCGCCCTATACCATATTGTGACGGCTGCCTGGTCCCCCTGACAGTTCTGCATGTCTTGGCGGAGTGCCCTAGCTACAACGACATCCGAAAAAATTGCTACCCCAACACATCATCCCTTGATCATGACGAGATGCTCACTAGAATGCTGCGGGAGGACCGGCGAAGTAACTTCGAAACCGATAACCTTAGACGATACCTGATGGAATGCAACCTGCTGCCAGAGATTTAGCATGACCCTGTAACGTCACCACCTGTCGGTCATATGCACTTGCACCACTGCCTTTCGCGAAACTATAATTGCACCTTCCCATCACCTAGACCAAGTCTCACTAAACTTATGCTGGAGTTGATACATGAAGTCGGAGCGGACCCTCGCTCCATGAGCAGGGAATCTACTGCCCAGCCCCTGCGCCTAAAATGGATCAGGCTATAAGCCTTGAAAGTGGAAGGGACCAAACATTTTTGACGTAGCTGAAGATCTCACCTCCGGCGCGAAATAGATAGCTATCTGAAGCGCTAGTAAATCTTCTACTACTACCACTACTACTACTCAGTAGAAGTACCTCCAGTTGTCCATCGTCCAATGGCCAACGGAAGGTCTGCTGCTTGCGCTGCCGTATCGCAATGATTAACATTTTAAAACATTTTGACTTGTGGTGCAACAACACCATTTTGTCTTGTCCAGTGGCTTCGTGGATAAGATTATCAATGCTTCCTGCGCCTAAAATGGATCAGGCTATAAGCCTTGAAAATGGAAGAGACCAAACATCTTTGACGTAGCTGAAGATCTCACCTCCGGCGCGAAATAGATAGCTATCTGAAGCGCTAGTAAATCTTCTACTACTACTACTCAGTAGAAGTACCTCCAGTTGTCCATCGTCCAATGGCCAACGGAAGGTCTGCTGCTTGCGCTACCGAATCGCAATGATTAACATTTTAAAACATTTTGACTTGTGTGGCAACAACACCATTTTGTCTTGTCCAGTGGCTTCGTGGATAAGATTATCAATGCTCTTACAAGCAGGTACGTGAAAGATAGAAAATTTGCTTGAAGTTGCCCATAATGACGAACTGTATCTAGTCTAGTCCCATCAAGTCAGTCAATACATACATTATGGTTTTCTGGTCATTCGCTTCATTCAGGCGCCCCTGCCACGTATTTCGGTTGTATGGCATTCTGCTTGACGTCGACGGGCAGGTTTCCGTAACTGATTCGGCCACTAGTTGGCCAGCTGTTGGGTGGTATTGTGCGAAGCGATTTTTTGACTGAAATTGCTTGATGTGTTACAGGCTCTGGAATTTTAATAGCCCCATTCCTGGCTACTGTGGCCCGTGCCTGTCTCTTANACTGATTCGGCCACTAGTTGGCCAGCTGTTGGGTGGTATTGTGCGAAGCGATTTTTTGACTGAAATTGCTTGATGTGTTACAGGCTCTGGAATTTTAATAGCCCCATTCCTGGCTGCTGTGGCCTGTGCTCTCGACACGCTGTCATGTTTTTATGTTAGGAAAACTGGTGTTACGTTACCGGTAACGACATAATAATTAAATACGTTTCAATTGTGCGTAGCGCGGACACCATGCGACAACGTCGTTTCTGTTGCTTTTCACCTGTCCCTTGTCACTTCTTTTTGAGATGCTAACGCTTCTTTCTAGCCAGCTTCAGCGCGCTGGACATCTGAGGCCTCCCGCTCCCTTATAGGTGATGATTAGATTAAGATTTTTGAATAATTGAGACCTTCCGCATCGCTGGCGATGTTATATTATGACCTCCGGTGCGAAATAGCTTGATAGCTGAAGCACTAGCAAACCAATATACTTCAACTAACTCCTGGGGTTTGTCGGTTATATTTTCTTAGCCAAATTTTCAAGAGAGAAGGGTTAAAACAACGTTCCTGATAGTTTCGTTAGTAATTTGATCCTGTTTTTATTATGGTGCTTTAAAATTTACTAGAAGATATGGAATTTCTATCGTATATGTTGGTGCGCGTGTTGTGTTTAACAACTTGTATGAGTAGGCTAGTTTCTGAAGTTCCAGATTTCTCTTCAAATCATTTTTGTGTGTGTGTGTGCGTTTTCGGGAATTAGCACTGATCCATTATTACACCTCCTATTGCTAAGCATTCAAATGCTAGCCCAGCTTTCCGAGTCCACTTCATATACTTTTCTAGCACGCTTGATACAAAAATGTCGACTATAAAAAACTATAATCAGTGTTCTATTTAGTTGAACTGGATCAGTTACAAGTGTATGATATAATTTTAGTACAAATTTATCAAATTGTTTGATATCCGATGTACCAATCACTGCCTGTGCGTGAAATATTTAGTTCATCAATTGTTAGTTCGTTTCTTGTATAAATTTCTATGTATATAGTATTTGACTGTATTTTATTTAGTACCTACTCAAAATGAACGTTAAACTATTTGAAATTGTTGACTTTACACAAATATTGCAAATATTTACCGGTGTTTTCGGTAACGCCGCCGATTTTTCCAATCTTGCGGAAAATATATTGCCGGAAACTTTTCACGTTAGTTCTCCTAAATTGGTGTGACGGTGATTATACTGAGAGTCTGAGATCTGCACATCATACAGCTTGGAAGACCCGAAATTGCGTAATGTTCTTTATCTGAAAAGAATTATTTGCATTATATAAAAGTTTAGAATTTCTGTAATACTGTGATGGATCAACTTTAATGGTTGATTAAAATTTCAATTAGTTAACTAGAGAAAGTCAAGATCGGAGAAACAGACAAACGCCAAACGGATGAAACTGCATCGTCCCCGACTGTCCGTGAGCTGTGGCCTGACACTTCGACTTAGCAAGACCGACCTAGATTCAGGGTCAGACTGTTCAGAACTTCAGTCCATAGAGATTTAGCCTTTGAACTTACAAGAAAAGATCTTGGAAAGTAATTTTGCTAATCTTGCTTGTTTCTATTTCCCTTTTAGTCTTTTATCTTTAATAATGGATTATGATTTCCAAAAAGAAGAAGATGTTAAGGAGTTTTTGGAGAAGCTTGGAGTTGAATATCGTTTCAGCTGTTTCAGTGAAAAGAGACCTGATAGTAAGTGTTATAGAAACTGTTATTTTGCTTTATTTGATCTTATAAACAGGGCAAGAGCCAAAAGTTAATTAGAGATCGTTTTTTGCTGTAACTTGTGATTATTGTAATTTTATAATCTAAAAGTTTCTAGATAAATTATATATGTATTAAAAAATTTTTCTGAATTTTTTTCTGTATCAAAAATATCAGCTGAATAATGACAAGAAGGTGCAGCAGCCAGCTGTAACTGAAAGCCATGTGTGAATTGGATAAGAAGTCTGTAAATCTGGCTGATATTTTTCTTGCCTTTTTCAAAAATCACCTCTGAAATGATAATTTTTATCTTTAGAAAAATTTGGCCTAGTATATCAAATTGGTGTTCATCTATTAGATTGGAAGTCTCCTACTTACCACTGAAATTTCATGGCTCCCAAATCAAAGTGGCAATTGACAAATTTTAACTGCATTTGGAATATCATGGCCTCATCATCTATATAACAATTGAATAAGAGGTGATTCATTGCGCAAGAATCTTGGGATTTTGAAAATGGCAGGAAAGCTTCAGTCATGCTGCCATGGCTTGAAAGATAGATAGCCCTATATGTCCTGCCAGTCTTGCTACAGATCTAATATCAATGTACATTGTACAAGTATGACACTTGAATCACCACAGCATGTTCTATATGTAGTAATGGTTTCTATCATGCTGTCTTCTATTTGTTTGATCTTTTCTAAGAAGAAACTTGAACCACAACTTATTTACTAAATTTAGTAATATTGAGAGAGCTTTGTACTTAATATATGACATTATTATTATCATGGTTATATGGTATGGTAATAAAATTCTACAAATTGTACTTTTTCAGTACCTCTCCTCTCAACTCAGTTTTTATATAGTTATTTTTGATAAGTAGTAAGTTAAGTGCAATACCTAAGGCCTAGCAGGCTTGGGATATGTCTACTTTCCAGGTTGCAACTATACAAAGCTTTTCTATAATTTATAGAGCAACACAATTCTTGCAAAATGAATTATATCACACATCACTGTTAATAAAATTACATATTCTCCAATTATGCAGAAACTCTACCACATTCGGACCATCAACACCTCATTTCTGAGTGTCAGCATTAAAATTACTAGTAATTTTCAATACCCTGACTTGTTACAAAAATTAGCAGGTGTCAAATTTTTTCCACTCACAATTTTCTCCAGAAATCAGCCACCAGTATAGCTTTAGGTTTAAAGTCTGCCTATAGTTATTCAACAATTCAAATCCATGCCCTTACCAAATTTCACTCAGGCACTGATATTAAGTTGAAATTTCAATCATGTTCTAATTCATATTTGTTATGAGCAAATGAGAATACTAATACAATGGTGATTATGAAATGTTATTAAAATGTAATAAATCCTATTGGATTTATGTGCTCTCACTGCTCTGTATCATTTCAGGCTGTCATCTGCTTGGAGAATACTTTGAAACTATCAAGACTGACTATGAAAAAGCTATGAAAGTCTTCAAAAATAATTGTGATGAGTACAAGTTTGCAAGGAGCTGTAACCAGTATGCAACAATGGCTCTAAGAGGCAGAGGTTTGATAATTTATGTCTGAATTATATATATATGTATATTTACAGCAAAAGAAAAAATATGTTTAAATATTTTTTTGAGCAAATATGCCCTATTTGCTCAATATAGTTAATTTTACAGCCAGTCAAAGACTTTTTTTGCCATTTATTCAAAGTTTGAATATGATTTCCATGAATGGGCAATTAATTTCATAACAGGGAGTAAGCAAGCCCGGGAAGAGGCTCCCAAATATTACGAAAAAGGCTGTAATTTTGGCAGCTCACAAGCATGCACCACCGGAGGAATTCTTGCTTTGATGAATGCAAACAAAAAAGAAGCTAACAACAAACCATCTCACATTCAAAATGCTAAGGTAATATACTTGCTTGAAAATATTCAGTATAAAGCTTCAAGTTTAATTCACTCTGAAATAGTTTGCCTTTAACTATTCACACAGAAAATATGTCAAGGCAATTTTGTTCCATCGACAGAATGGTATGGAAATGCTGCTGAGAGGCTGCGACCTGAACAATCAGCATGCCTGCTACTATGCGTCAGCCGTGTACATAACAGGCAGGGAAGAATACAACATTCCTTCTGACATGGAGAAGGCATTCAAGTATGCTGACAGAGGCTGCGAGTTAGGCAGCATACATGCGTGCGGTAACCTTTCAATGGTAAGAACTCATTTAACTACTAATACATTCCCTCAATAAATGTAGCCAATGTTAACGTGCTGAAAAAATAGGCAAGCATTCATTTACCCACTGAAAAGAAAAGCCTCACGACTTTCTAGAAGTCTGTTCATTCACAAAGTCAAGAATAAAAAATTAAATTTTCTAAATCAACGCTATAGTACAATAATTTGGGTAACACTCGGATCCTGTTGGCAGTAGGTATGTTTCGCAAACAGTTGTAATCGTGAAAATATGTAGATTAAATATAAATAATAAAACTTATTCTATTCCAGATGTACAAGAAAGGAGATGGAGTGGCAAAAGATTTGACTAAAGCAAAATTTTTTGAAACAAAGGCGCTTGAGATGCAGGAACAATTTAGAGAACAAATTGCCATGCAACGTGAAAGTAAATGAAAGATAACGGCTTTATTCTATAATTTGAGGTATTTTGTATATAGCAGACGTTTACATTGCATTTTACAGTTTCTATGACATCTGTTAATTTTCTTATGTGACAACTTTCGAAAACATTTTATTTGGCTTATGAAATGAACGATATTTGAAGTACAGTTGTCTATAAAAATGACTTCAATTTCCAAATGTCGGATATTATAAAACATTTTTGGGCGATGTATGAATTTATTAACACTTCTTCAAGTACCGTAATCGTTGATTTTAAATATTGTCACGGTAAACTCATTAATGGCCGACTTAATGTTTAAACTAGTCGGTGGAAGACATGACTCGTAACGCGATAAGGTAAATTAAATCTCATTGGAATTAGTAGGAGGCATAGGATGCTTAGCGATCCATTCATTGATGTCGGGACAGTTGATAACGTTAGCAGCGTCCCGCCACAGTGGCAAGATTAGATCTTCAGGCCCCATGTGCTGGGGCGAGAACTGGTCGATTAGAGGCACCAGCACTGGCAGTACCAGCGAGTGCACGAGCATAGCTCCTCTTTGGGAGAGGTGAAGACCATCGCTTAAAAGTGACGGCCAGTCCGACTGTAATTGACACAGTCACCTTAGTTACAAATTTACCAGCACATGATTAAAAATGTTATAATAAAATTATGAGCCATTCGATGAATTTACAACGAATTCAATGAACTTTCGTTATAAATTTGAAGACATCACATGCAATGAGGAATCGACTGAATAACACACCTATACCAAAAAGCAGCCTAATCGAAAATATAATATATTTTCTGTCAAGTAAATGAATTAGCATTAAAAACGAACCTGTTTCTTGAAGTTGGTGTGCAAATCGACGCATGTAACACTGACGTCTTGAGCAGCCAGCTTGCAAGTTTCAGCGTACTGCTCTGTGAGCTCCGCTGACCGAACCATGGCCAGCTCTTCCGTCATGCCGCTGGGGTTTGAGGGCGGAGGAGTGAGCAGCACCACTTCCGACACGCCACACGACGTCTGTCGGTCGAATTCAAATGAGAAATGAATAATAGAGTGTTAACAAGAGATGAGTCTTACCATATCAACAATGGAGAAGATCGTGAACTTTCCTAGGGATGCGGGAGTAGCTTCACCGACATGAATGTATTTCAACTTACGTATTGACATAAATAATTGAGAAGATCAGTGGCGTAACATTGTATTGATTTATATTAAACCAAGGCATAGTTATCATTCTTGTGATTCATTCATTTCTTGCTATGTGATTTGTAAAGTCTAGCGAACAGATCAAGCCAACTTAAATACAAATAATAATAATTAATTGAATACAATAATGAATGAAGGAAATCACCTTGAGATGCCTGACAATGTCAGCGAGGTTCTTCCTGTACTCGTCAATGGGCACGTGTTGCAGGGGTGAAGTGCAGGCGTCGTTAGCCCCCAGCCAGAGCACGGCAACGTCTCCCCGGAGGCTCTCTAAGGGCAGGTTGCGGCAGATGCTCATCCATTGGCGCGAGTTGTAGCCCGAGAAGCCGCGTGCGATCACGTCGCACCGTCTAGAATTTTAGATAGACTTGATTCATGATCACACGACAAAACTTCATGCATAGACAAAAAAACGTTTGAAGCAAGCGTACCGTATGAACGACAATATAACTTAGTTATAAATGAGCACTGCGGGATTGAGATCATAATGATTACTTAAAATAACATTGTAAATGAAAGCTAACGGCATCAATCTCCATGCCTGAAGATCAACCAAATCTATTTGCACACAAGATCTCATTATTCGAAGATTACGAAACACGTGCAAGCAGTACAGGTACAACAAATATTTGCATGTATGGGCAACATGGGTCGGGGCGAATCCCCATCAACACATTCTGCCCTGATTAATGCCTCACGCAGAAGTCTTCGTTACTGTCAACAAAGTTGAAAGAAATTTTCTTGAATCACGCTTCTACAAAGCATGCAGACTCTATGCACATCTCCACTGACGGCTCCAAGCTGGATGGTGCCATGGGGTGTGCTGCTGCGATCGACACAGCAAAAATATCAGGACGATTCAGCCACAACTCATTACTGTACACCGCGGAGCTATCTGGTGTCCTCTTAAGCCCTGACTCTTATAAACGACCAACGATATAAGATCGACGTTTATATTGACGACTCCCAAATGTGAGAACAATAAAACAGCAGGTACATCATCGGGAAATCTTGGCCGGACTAGTGCGCATAGAAGAGGCGAGGAAGACAGTGAGGATCTGTTGGGTGGGTGACACGTGGGGATGATGGGCAACGATTGGGCGGATGAGGCGGCGGTGGGCACTGCTTCGTCGGACATGGAGATCCACAGTGAGGAGATGCCATTTAACGACAACTGCCTCCTTCATTAGGGCTAGCGTTCGTCATTTATTGATCGGGGTGGGGATGAACGTGAGAGGAAATGAGCCGATTGCAATCAGGGACTGCGTACAAGCTTGGAACTAATCGCATCGAACATTTGACAGATGATAACGGCGCTGTGCAAATTGATAGTTGGCCGTACTCGCCGCACCCACTGCTACTTGATAGAGTGTGCCTTACTTTCAGAAAATAATGTTTTTACGAAGCGCTAAATACCTTCTAATACTACTACTGACCTACGGGCACAAGAAGGTGCCTCAATCGGCCAGCATAATTTAGCCAGACGCAGCCTATGGTCGCCCTTGCTTTAGATGGATGCAATTTCTCATGATCAAATGTGAATGAATTATTTATTCTGATCATAGACTCGTCAAGTTTTATAAATGAAGCGAGTATGATTGCAGTTGACCTCTAAAAATATAATGAGCGCATCTGCGCAGTTCACCTCTGGAAGGAGTCCGCCAGCATGGCTCCCCAACAACCATCGCTGCTGAAGCTTTGCTGCAGAGGACGGTAAAAATCAGTTCACAAAAATGTATCGTCAATGTTCTGTGTTTCTCTGATATCATTTATAAATTAGCAAACAAAATAGATAATCAAATTTTGTGTTTTATATTATCTTACGTAGATCAATTTACGAAATAAATCTTTCATATTACGTACATGTTTCTCTGCTGTCGTCAACAATTACAAATAATCAGCCTGGCACAAAGAGACCAAAAGGACCCAATTTAGACATTACGGTTTCGATATTCAGTAACTAAATGTCTACCTTTAAAAATAAACTGAAATATTATTTAACAATGGACGCCAGATCACCTGAGTCAAGGAATCTCCCAGAAGAAGCAAGCGGGGCCACAGACTTCGGGCTTTTGAAGCCATCGTGAACAATATTGAAATAAAAACTGAACAAATATTATAGAATGTCTCTTAGTTTTGTTCACAAACTTTACAAGAAAATACGGTACCGTTCAAATGAGGTTTGAATGACGTTTACCCTGCGTATATATATCGAAATAAGGATACAAAATTTGTTAGTAAAGGCATTACAACCCACAAACTTGGTTCTATTACATCGAATCACTCTTGAGATCCCTCAAATAAATGAGATACGGGATATAATGAGAGGCGATTTTCCCACATAGTACAATGGATGATGGTAACATCCTCAATGGTGCAATGCGACCACTCATCGTGATTTTGTTCAACTCGCGTCTCAAATTCAACGCTCGAATAAAAAAAGTGCTGAGCTCTGACTTTATACCGAGACAAATGTTAAAATGAAATATACTTCTTGTAATATAGTAGGAGAGTACAAAGAGTAGCGAACGAATATCTTCATCTTTACTCATTGCTCAGGTATTGAATATTGTTATAAATTAACAGGCTTTTGAAATTTGATCGGGAGAATAATACTCACTTATGACTTCAATTATAAAATTACAAAATTCGACCATTTTTAGCATAATTAATTCTCACACAGCAATATTGTATTTTGCATTAAATTTAAAGATACGGGAAAGTGGTAGCAGAACTTCGGAAACACGAATTCAATGGACGACGTTCACATTTGATTTTTGAAGACCATAAAATCAATTGCAATTGCTTTAAAAATAAAGACTATGCTACTCATACAAGGTAAGTATGCACGATGAGGTTAACACTGGCAAATGGGTGCTAGAGGAGCTTTGATAACATCGTTGCTTAGGACATGCACAACAAACTAGGCGAACAGAATACAAAGAAATATTTAGAAAATGTATCACGAGAAATTGTCTTCCAAGCAAACCACAGTATCTCTGCTTAATTGATTGAGAGAAATAGTGAATATAAGAACACAATATATGGTGAACTGCTTTTTCGATAGGGTATAACAAAAAAAGGTAACTTAATTAGACAAAATTTTGTTGATGGGAACAAGACACATGCTGTGCATCAATTGAGCCGCACTGTGTTGAAAACTTCCCCATCGTGCACATCAACGTGAGAAGTATTTAACTATTACCTATACGTGAACACATAAATAAATTACAGCTCGCCATGAATTTAGTGAATAACACTTGCAGGCAAATTAAAGACGTAACAAAATTATGGCACATGATGGCACTAATCTCCTGCTACGAGACAGCAGAAAAACACTGATTGCATTAACGGCATAAGCCCACATGTTAATGTCGTGGGAAACAAGATCTGGCAGTTTGATAAGCTGCGATATCTATAGAATTTCTAATCTCTTCTTTCTGATTCATTTCTCATTTATTGCCAACATAGCCTGAAAGGAATTTCTAGATAACAATGCAAAACATAAATTTAGTTTATGGCACAAAAGACAAACAACACAGAGAGAAGCTCAGTAGTGGTATGTATTTATAACATTATATTATATCTTAAAGCACAAAAAAATAAAGAAAAAAGCAGCTAAGTAAGAAAATCTTACTATGTTTGGTACGGATATTAATCTACACAAACTCCAACAGGGAAGCGAAATAGAAGAGCAGTTAAGTAAGGCAGGCACACGATGGCCAACGAAATAGAAGAGCAGTTAAGTAAGGCAGGCACACGATGGCCAATGAAATAGTTATAACTGTACTTTGTACTGCAATTAAATGACACTATTCAATTAATTTTTTCTATAATAAATTTGAGAATCAGTGAAGAAATGTTCGCCCAGTGTGAAATTTTCACCCAGTGAAAGGCAACTCATGATAGGTAAGGGGACCGAGACTTGGCCTAAGACTCTAATTAGACCGAGACTCTAATAAGAACCAGACGTTTCTAATTAGACTTACCTTTAACACTTGAAGGCAAGAGAAGATATGATCAACATCAACTGCAGCTGATATGCAGAAGGCGATTACCAGATTAAGATACATTTCACAAGTCTGTACGAAATCAATTAAATGAAATTACTAACAACTAAGAGAAACAATAGTAGGTATGTCAATATTGTATGATTTCCTAGTTTATGCTGTAAACAAATAAGTCTACTATACTGGCATACAGAATTAAATCTGATCTGCAAAACAATTTTCATAATTGTTTCCCCCCTACATAGCAAACCAATCTACAATTGAACCAAAAACCAATAACTCTACAGTGAGTCATTTGAGCCAACTTTAGAGTAAATAAATTCTAAGTTGACTTAATTTCATCTTTAAAACCTTAAAGATATTATTGAAATTTTTAATATTCTTGCAAGATTAACTATAATGTGAATAAAACAAAAAATACATCTTAATTTTTCATCACCAATAGTCCTCAATAATATTTTAGGCTATGTACATTTTCATCAAATAAACAATACAGTCTTGGAATCACCCACATTACCCACATGATTATTCACCATAACTCTCTGCACAATGGTGTGCATGAGGGGAACAACAATGGAGCATCACCCCACTCCGGGAATCACCTACATTACCACATGAATAACATGATTATTCAACGTACCTCTCTGCAAAGTGGTGTGCATGAGGGGAGAATTACTGGAGGACACAGCAGCATAACTTGGCTCCATGAAACAGTTCCAATGATGCCATGATACAAGCTATCCCAACTTCTCAGGACTGATCTGCAAAATGTTGATTGTGAAAGTTTCTCTCGAAATGAACACATTTAAGGTAGTGCAAAAATTGTTCACCATTTCCATATAATTAGATTGCACTGCAACTTCATTTGTAATCACTTCCATTCTGAACTTGAGTCACAACTTGTGGAAAAATTGACAAGATTCAGGATGAATAATCAGTTGCAATGAATTTGTTTATGTTTATATTATAATCAAAATATAGACCATTAGAAAGCACCTATGCAAATTTGGTCACCATTTTTTATGCAACATTTTTAGCTCCTAAATGAGTTATTTTTTTAATTCACATTAAAATGGTGGTAGCTCTCTTGAACAATCTCTTGAATGCCTTAAATTACACCAAAATCAAAGACTTAAGAATCATCTAGTGCATGATAGAGCAGGGTAGAGAACAGAAAGATTATCATACAAATATAAAAAGCAGTGCATGATTCAATTCAGCAAGAAGAATTCTGACTGAATTCAAGATACCTGATGTGAAGAATTTGGACAGAATATTTTCAGACTTACTTCTGGGGAAGATCTTGTAGATGGCGGCTAATGATAACATCCATTGGTCCCGCAAGAGCAAGGAGAACCAGAGAAATACCAAAATGATGCAAAACTTTCAATAGCATCAAAAATACTGAAGAATTTCATATGAAACAGTTCCAATGATGCCATGATACAAGCTATCCCAACTTCTCAGGACTGATCTGCAAAATGTTGATGGTGAAAGTTTCTCTCGAAATGAACACATTTAAGGTAGTGCAAAAATTGTTCACCATTTCCATATAATTAGATTGCACTGCAACTTCATTTGTAATCACTTCCATTCTGAACTTGAGTCACAACTTGTGGAAAAATTGACAAGATTCAGGATGAATAATCAGTTGCAATGAATTTGTTTATGTTTATATTATAATCAAAATATAGACCATTAGAAAGCACCTATGCAAATTTGGTCACCATTTTTTATGCAACATTTTTAGCTCCTAAATGAGTTATTTTTTTAATTCACATTAAAATGGTGGTAGCTCTCTTGAACAATCTCTTGAATGCCTTAAATTACACCAAAATCAAAGACTTAAGAATCATCTAGTGCATGATAGAGCAGGGTAGAGAACAGAAAGATTATCATACAAATATAAAAAGCAGTGCATGATTCAATTCAGCAAGAAGAATTCTGACTGAATTCAAGATACCTGATGTGAAGAATTTGGACAGAATATTTTCAGACTTACTTCTGGGGAAGATCTTGTAGATGGCGGCTAATGATAACATCCATTGGTCCCGCAAGAGCAAGGAGAACCAGAGAAATACCAAAATGATGCAAAACTTTCAATAGCATCAAAAATACTGAAGAATTTCAGTTTTATACACAGCTGATCTGTATTTTTCTAATAATATATAACGTACCTACTATGCATGGAGACCATTTTCATGAAATGAAGTGTGAAAAGCATGATCAAAGATAGGGTACAGTGTTTAAAATTCTTTATGTGTGATTGAGATCACAATTAATTTTTTTATTGATCCCAGAAGACTTTGGAACCATAATGCAGGTATATTTATTCATATTAACTTTTATTTTTAATTAATTCTATGAATTGATATCACATATTCTTAACCACACAAATTAGGCTTTGTCATGTATGTTCAACATAGAAAAATACTGAATAAAACAAATCATAAGAAAGTCACTTTTATTTTTCTGCAACGAGTACCTTTAGAATAAATTCCTAATTCAAAGCAAATAAAAGTTGCTCACAATCCTTGGCTGCCGAAATAGGAAGGGTTAAGCAACAGAGATGATAATGGAATTTTCTGAATGGCTGCGGGGCTGAGGATGGCATAATACAAAAGCTGTGCTCGAGGGTGGCCTGGGACACACATATAGTAAACACATAAGAGTAAGGACTAAAGGTACCAACTAACTTACTAAGGATGAGTTAAACAAATTTATAGAAGCAAACATACCAATAAGTCTACAGGATGCAGTGACACGAAGAAGATTAGCGGGCCATAGAGATGAGCACATTGAAGACATAGGTGAGGAACAGGAGTTGACTTGTAGAAAATAAATCAGACTTCAGAATGCACAAAACAACAGGTCATCAAGGCTACTATCACTAGTTCCCTTCTTCAAGGCTACTATCACTATGTACTATCACTACGTCCTAGGACCAATTGCTAATGTAGCCAATTGATCTAATCTGAAGTGAACAGAGATGACCCTAAAAGTATTGCATTCTGCACTCTTGTACTATGAACAAGTTATATGCACCTCTTTCTTGTAATTATTGTACAACCTCAAGCACATAATGCTTCATAAATAACATTTTAAACATAGCAGGTATGTTTAAAATGTCATAGGATTTTTGTGTTTAAAATCATAGGATACATTTAAACAGAAAACCTGACCAATTAGAGACATGAATCCAAGCTAGCTAGCTCATCAGAATTCTTTCAATTTTGTTGCATTCTTGACTAAAATTCATTACCTATTCTTGCTACATATTGTACCTATATACTTGATTGATAAAATACAGTTCAACAAAACAAATGACATCACAGTGGCATCAACCTCACACCTACTTTCCACTGACAAACTTTATTTGCAAATCTGAAAATAATTGGCAAGATGTGCTGAATATTTGAATCATTGCATAGATTTGTTTACATGGATTTAATCAAAGGCCCAATCTGCAGCAGAAATTATGTGACTAAGATCTTCCCAAGTATAGTAAAGGAAGCCTCAAAAAAGGCATTGAAATATTCAAAATGAACAATGTAATTACAAACAAGCCCATATGCAATAAATTTACAACCAGAAAAATTATGACAAACAACTAAAGAAACAAGCTAATTTGGTCTTCTTGCTTTGTGATCAAAGAAAAATATATTTTTTTTAATTGAGCATTTGCAATAAAATAACTATAGAGACTAGAAGAGTACACCATCAGCAGGAAAGTTCAGTGATGTTAGTAATTTTTCATGATATTAATAATTTCATTGTAAATTACTTCTTTAGCATTTTTAGCAAAAACTAAATCCATGTGGCCATAGTCCTCTTGTGGAGCCATAATCCTTTTAACAAAGTTTGGGAGCTCCCGCATCAAGATCTGCACGTCCTGAAATTTGAAAAAAAAATTATAGATACGGTATTATTGTTGCAATGTATATATATATATATATATGTGTGGTGAGGTACGGTAACATTTTGGTTGATTGCAGAGAATAAAAATTACATAACACTGGCATTCAGGCCTTTTTTGTGGGTGGCTTGTGCCAGTGATCCTAGAGTCTGAGATCACCTTACCGTCAGACAGGGTAATGAAGGACTGGTGTCTGGTGGGGTAAATCGGAAAAGTCCACCATCATGTCGTGAAATGTTATAGTATAGTATAGAACTAGAAGTCTAGTTTTGCTGTTAGTGCTAGAACTGATAACATTTTTATGCCATGACAGACTGTATGGAGGACTATTCCTATTTAACCCACCAGTCCCTTATTAACCGGTTTTACGGTATTATTTTTGATCAACCTTGGCAAGTTGGCATGTTGTTTGGTCCAAAAATATAATAGAGAGGAAGAAAAAATAGGAGGGCCCAAAGTTGCACTTGAACTTGAGAGAATGAAAGTTGCAACACTTGATTTCAATCAGACTATATAATAAATATTAATTCCCTGACATTCTTAATCTTAACACAACAAATTAACCTTTATCATTATGAAGTAATAAGAAATCACACTATCAAAAGAGTTCAAAGAGATGCACACCGCAGAGGATGTGTGAGGGAGCAATATCACATACCGGTACATGATACATTCAAATGCATTTTTTTATATAGTTAGTGTTAAGGCTTGTGGCAACAAATGCGCCCACCACTGTTAGTTGCTACCAGCCTCATCTGACATCTCTGTCAGAAAAAGAAAGGAAAGCAGCAGACTTGGTGCTCTGCTAGACTAGTAGACTTGGTAGTTGCCTCCCAGGGTGCAGATAGTGGGTGAATATCGAAAGACATTTGGCGACGCATCAGCAGCCAAATTTACTCTTTTTGAAATGAAAGATCTTGCCAAGTGCCAACACATTTGGATGGACTGAAATTATTGCATTTAAGAAATACTTTGAAATTAAGGCAAATCTGAGAGACCGCAAGTGCGCACGCCACACAGTAAGGTTTCCAGTATGCCAGATAGATCAGGATGCAGTGAAGCCTGTCCAGAAAGCAGTTGCAATGTGTGTAAGTGTTTTGGTGCATGGACTGTGGAGATTAAGAGCTATACTATCAAAGTTGCGTGCAGCACTTTTTTATTAAAAATTACCCAGCAACAGATTTGAAAATGGCTGGCAACCCTTTGGGCAAAAATTCATATCTTGACAATGCTGCTCGCACCCTGGGTTGTCTCTGTTGCTCTGACACACTCAGGAGTCAGGACCAATGCAATCTGTCTGTGTGACCAGAGAGTGACACAGACCAGTCACCACACACTTGCTATACTTATAGGCCCCATGCCCACAGACAGGCTGCTTGTACCCAGAGTCTGGAGATAATCTCATCCTGTTACAAGGAAGGTATTCTGGCAACTGGCAAGGTACAAGTTTCTTACATATTTACATGCATAAATCACTCTCCATCTCTGTCCATCATAGTAGGTTTGCCATGACAGTCTGCAACAAAAATTGTGACAAGTAAGAAACTACAAGAGGGCATTGTGCTGTCACTGCTGCCGCTGTGGGATCTAGGCTAAGCTCCAAAAGCTATCACTGTGTTCAGCCTTCAGGTTCCAACTTCCAAGGGACTCCAATGTTAGCCAATGCAGTAAGGACTGCGCTAGCCTCTAGGACCTGCAAATCTAACACAAGTGAGCATGAACTTGAAGTGTGAGATGGTAGCGTTGGTAGGTATCCTCCTGGGCCTGGTAACAAACCAAGCAGGTTGACTGGTTGAGTCCCGTGCCAGCCCATAGCGGGTACTATGTGCACCAATGCCGGTATGGCCAAGGCACAGACGAGCCCCGCACGCGACCTTCTCTGACTGAGGCAGCGATGGCGCAGCCGTACACCACCAATTTTGTGCACCAATAAGCTCTGAATCAAATGCCTTGGATGACTCCGGACCTACACCAATCAGCCATGCACCACTCGGCTTTGTCCTCATCCGGCCTTCAGGCCTTGACCACCACCTGCCGTGCACCACTAGGCCGCAGATCGAATATGACTTCCAGGCATAGTGGCAACTGGCAAACCAGAGATTTTTTAGAATCAGTTCAATTTTAATTTCCTCATTCATTTACTCAATATTTAAACCAATTTCATATGTATGATAATGCTGGTATCCATGATACTTTACTGGTCTACTTATACTGTCTTATAGGACTCAAAATTGAACTTGAGGGAGAGCACTGTGGAATTCTAGAGGGATAATAAATTAACTAGTACACATAGTATATTGGAAAGCAGGACCTGAAAGCTTGGAAAGGCCAGGAACTTTACACTTTCAGTCCATTATTTACATATCTTATCCCTTTTCAGAATTACAGCTGTGATTGATTGATAGGATTGTGATTTTAGCCTCTTTCAGCTTTCCAGCTGTTGTTGGATAATGGAATTGTAATGTTATCTGCTTTCTAGCTGTGATTGGTTGATAGGGATGCTTTCAAGCTGTGATTGGTTGATGGGAATGCTTTCAAGCTGTGATTGGTTGTGCCCATAAGTCCCGCCTCCAAGTATGGTATATGTACTACAGTACTAGTTAACTAAATAGGGTAAACGCGGTATATTCCGACACATTAAGGACGCATCGAGAAATGAAAAACTAAAAAAAAACCGTATGCGTTACGTAAGTTCTGTTACCTTCACATGACTCTCAAAACAGTGAAAACACTTCACTACGCGTCAGCAACGATGAAACGTCACAAAATGTTGCCATACGGTATTTATTAAAAAGCCTTTAGAATGGAAACCTACCAAATCCCTATATTCCGTCACTTTGTGTTACATCTAAATAATTCTTTTACAAATTTAATGTACTAGTATAAAATTGAAACATTTTGTCCACACTCCACAGTCCACTTTTGATCCACCTTTTCATTTATAGCCACTTCAGTCATTCACCTGGAAGAGCACTGTGGGAATGGGAAGGCTTTTCAGCTTGGGTGGAAAGCTCTTTAATAAGTGAACTTCCATTCTTAGAATTCCAGCCTGAGGGAGAGTCTAAAAAACTCTCTGCTTTGCCACCATGCAAGTTCCAGGCATCGTTAAATTAAGTAATTTTACGTTCACCGCCTCTGAGGTTAGGTTTCAGATTGCATAGTTCTGTTCAAAAATTTATCGTCCTTTGACAAGTGGCCATTTGACCGAGGGCTGGTTTGACCCCTGAAATTAGGTATTTGTCGGAAACGTTGGTTATGAAAAAAAAATTATCTTATGTACCTACTGTGCATTTATCTAGCTTGACAATAAATAGCCAAATTTAATAGGTATGTTATATTTTTCCCTCTGAGGCTTTTTGGAATATTTTGACACTTTTCTTTTCCTCTGTTTGATAACATTGTCACTTTTTCCTTTTTTTATTACAGTGTCGCATTTCTCCTCCATCGCTCAACATGTTAGGTACATCTTATGAGCCTAGTATGGAATATATCTACTTGGCGAGCCGCGACTGAATTTTTCGAGCCGTGGTTTTATGGATTTGCCAGCCGTGATTCCATTTCTACGAGCCGTGATTCTATTTCACCGAGCCGTGAATTCCATATCTCGGCCATGAAAAGCCATTTACGAGGTGCGAATGCG